TAGGGTGGGTTTGTTTTTTTGGGGGGGGGAGTAGCACCTGGATATAGATTAGTCCTCGCCTGAACCAGCCCGACATTTATGCTGCTAAGTGAGGCATTTTGCGAAGGGAGTTTGACCGCTTTTCTCGCCGCGGTCGTTAAGCGAGACGCTGCAGTGGTTAATTTAGGAAGGTGTTTGTTAAGCGGATCTGGCTTTCCCCCCCCCCATTGACTTGGCTGGTTGGAAGGTTGCAAAAAGGGGGGTCATGTGACCCCCCTTCTGGGGACGCTGCGACCGTCATAAATATGAGTCAGTTGCCGAGCTTCTGAATTTTGATCCCATGACTGCAGGGATGCTGCGACGGTCGTTAAATGTGAAAACAGGTTGTACGTCGCTTTTCCCACTGCCGTTGTAACTTCGAACGGTCACTAAATGGACGGTTGCAAGTCGAGGACTTAGCTGCATTCTAAGTCTGCTTTAATGGGATTGGATTAAAGCCTCCCAGGATTGTTTCTCTCCTAGAAATTCAGCAGAGTCGGAAGGGACCTCGGAGGCCATGTAGTCCAACCCCCTGCTGCAGCCCGGCCATCTTCCAACTCTGATCTGAAACTACAGGTGGTCCTCGAGTTACGCAACCACAACTGGGCCCCAAATTTGTGTTGCTAAGCGAAACATTGATTAAGTGATTTTCTTTTGCCCCGTTTTATGACCTTTCTGGCCACCGTTGTTAAATGAATTACTGCAGTTTTTAAGTCAGTAACACAAGTTCTTAAGTGAAACCGGCTTCCTCCCATTGACATGGCTTGTCAAAGGTGGCAAAAGGGGATCATGTGACATCCCCGGGACGCTGTGACCGTCATAAATATGAGCCTCTGAATTTTGATCACGTGACCAGGAGGATGCGGCAACCGTCATTAAGTGTGACAAACTCTTAAGATATTTAATTTAATAGCTGGAAGATGACATGAACTTTAGAATGAGCCAGAAGACAGAGTGGTAGTTGATTGATTGGAGAGGGCGGGCTCCTGCATGAGGCAATCTGCGTTATGATTGGTTGCTGGGTGAGAAGGGGGAGTTTCCCTTTTTTCCCGCCTTTTTTTTTTTTTTTAATTCTGTGTGCTCTGCGATTTACCTGACAATTTACCTCAGGATGTAGCGATGGGCAGGACTACCTTGCTTATTGTATATTTCGATGTAAAATACATTTATTTATATAAAACCATGGGAAGTCCTCGACTTACGACCCCAGTTGAGCCCCAAATGTACGTCACCGAGGGAGACATTTGTTAAGCACATTTTGACCCATTTTATGACCTTTCCTGCCAGAGTTGTTAAGTGAGTAACACGGGTTGTTAAGTGAATCTGGCCCCCCGACTGATTTGGCTTGTCAGAAGGTCGCAAAAGGGGATCAGGTGACACCCCCGGGACGCTGCAGCCGTCATAACTATGAGTCGGTTGCCGAGCCTCTGAATTTTGATCACGTGACCCCACAGGATGCTGCCACGGTCAGAAATGTAGAAAAAAAAACAGTCATAGGTATAGTTTTAACTTCAAACGGTCAGTAAATAAACAGCTATAAGCCGAGGACTGCCTGTCTGGGCAGGGGAGAGGGGAAAAAATGGGGTCCACAATGCTCCCCATAATGGTTGGCCCATAACGGTTGGCCCGATGAGAGTAGTAAAATGATCCATTGGCGGAAACTTGGTGCAAAAACCTTCCCTGCAGGCGTGAAAATGGGTATCATAGGAAGTAACTAAACACTGAGCCCTGGGGGGGGGTCTGGGTGTTTTGTTCTTTCCTGCCAAAAGGGTCTATTTTTGACACTGAGATAATATTTTCAGAACTTTGCAGAAAAATCTCAGACGGAGACTTTGTGGAGAGAGAGAGAGAGAGGGAGGGAGGGAGGGAGAGAGAGAGAGAGAGAGAGATTAGATGAGAGCTCCAATCCAGGTTTAGTAAGAGAGCAGAGAGAAAATAGATGGGGAGGGGAGGGAAGAGAAAAGAGAAAAGGGGGAGGGGAGGGGAAAAGAGAAGAGGTTTGGAGAGGGGAGAAGAGGAAGGAAGGAGAGAATGAGGGAGGGAGGGAGTAAAGGAAGGAAGGAAGGAAGGAAGAGGGAGGGAGGGAAGGAAGGATGGGGAGGGAGGGAGGGAGGGAAGGAGGGAGGAAGGAAAGCAAGGAATGTAATGGATGGTTGATGGATAGGGAAGAAAGGAAGGAAGGAAGGAAGGAAGGAAGGGAGGGAGGGATACAATGGATGGTTGGATGGATATAGGCAGGCAAAGGAAGGGAGGGAGGGAGGGAAGGAGGAAGGAAAGCAAGGAATGTAATGGATGGTTGATGGATAGGGAAGGAAGGAAGGAAGGAAGGAAGGAAGGAAGGAAGGAAGGAAGGAAGGAAGGAAGGGAGGGAGGGAGGGAGGGAGGGAGGGAGGGAGGGATACAATGGATGGTTGGATGGATATAGGCAGGCAAAGGGAGGGAGGGAGGGAGGGAGGGAAGGAGGAAGGAAGGAAGGAAGGAAAGCAAGGAATGTAATCGATGGTTAATGGGTAGGGAAGGAAGGAAGGAATACAATGGATGGCTGGATGGATATAGGCAGGCAAAGGAAGGAAGGAAGGAAGGAGAAAGGGAGGGAAGGAAGGGAAAAGAAAAAGAAGAAAAGAAGGGAATGCAGGAGAAGAAAAAGAAAAGAGAAAAAGGAAAGGGAAAGGAAGGAAAAGGGAGGGGGAAGGAAAGAACAAAGGAGGGAGGGAAGGAACTGGAGAGGAAGGAAGGAAGGAAGGAAGGAAGGAAGGAAGGAAGGAAGGAAGGAAGGAAGGAAAGCCAAGCTGCAGACATGCTGGCTGGGGAATTCTGGGAATGGAGGTCTGCTCATCTTTAAGTTGCCCAGGTTGAGAAGCTTTGCTCCATCCAAATCAGAGCCATTGCACCCACCACTGAGTTCCTCTAGAGGGAAATTATTTATTTACTAAATAAATAGGGATGCTATTTATTGAATAAACATCAGCAAAGATCAAAAGAAGAGAGATTACAGAGCGTGCAAAATAAAGGAGAGGTTATGTACAGTATCTACCTACACCTTTAGATCGATTTAACAACAAACAAAACAACACAAAACTTACCGGAGCTGCTGGAACCAAACTTGTGAGCAATTAGCACACTCAGCCCCAAAGAGAGTGTGTCAAATAGCCAAATAGAGATGGAAAGTAGGACACCAGGTGATCCTTCTTCTACCCTGCACCATGCAGGAAATAATTAGAGGGGCAGGAATCCTGTATCCGAGATCCAGAAGCTATTGTATAGAGCAGCAAAACGGAAAAGCTTCATTAAAAAAATATATTTTAGCCTTTTTCTTTCTCTGGCCCTTGAGTATTCAGTTACTTTCTTTTAAACGATATGTAGTATTTTATTTTATTTTTTGCATAACAATAAAGAAACAAGTTGATTTACAGGGACGCTAGCATTTCTCTCTGGGTTTCTTCTGTCTGTGGCACCCGTCTGAAGCAATATGCCTTAGTTTATTTGAACAATTATAGATTTTTTCCCCCTTGGTTGGGAATAGAGATATATCACATATGCACATTTTACTGCCTTGGAAAACAAGGGATAGTTAAACAGCCTATTGTTCAAAATAGCTCCAACCCAGGTTTAATAAGAGAGCAGAGAGAAAATAGATGAGGAGGGGAGGGAAGATAAAAGAGAAAGGGGAGGGGAGGGGAAAAGAGAAGAGGTTTGGAGAGGGGAGGAGAGGGGAGGAGAGGAAGGAAGGAGAATGAAGAAGAGAAGGGAAAGGAAGGGAGGAAGGAAGGAAGGAAGGAAGGAAGGAGGAAGGGAGGGAGGGAGGGAAGGAAGGAAGGAAGGAAGGGAAGAGGGTGGGAAGGGAAGGAAGGAAGAAAAAAGGAGAAGGAAAAGGAAGGAATGAGGGAGGGAGGGAGGGAAGAAAGGAGAGGAAGGGAGGGAAGGGAAGGAAGGGAGGAAGGAAGGGAGGGAGAGGAAAGGAAGGAAGGAAGAAAAAAGGAGAAGGAAAGAAGGAAGGGAAGGAAGGGAGGAAGGAAGGAGGGAGGGAGAGAAGGGAAGAAAGGAAGGAAGAAAAAAGGAGAAGGAAGGAAGGAAGGAGAGAGGGAGGGAAGAAAGGAGAGGGAGGGAAGGAAAGGAAGGAAGGAAGGGAAGAGGGAGGGAGGGAAGGGAAGAAGAAAAAAGGAGAAGGAAGGAAGGAATGAGGGAGGGAGGGAGGGAAGAAAGGAGAGAGGGAGGGAGGGAAGGGAAGAAAGGGAGGAAGGAAGGGAGAGAGGAAAGGAAGGAAGGAAGAAAAAAGGAGAAGGAAGGAAGGAAGGAGAGAGGGAGGGAAGAAAGGAGAGAGGGAGGGAGGGAAGGAAAGGAAGGAAGGGAAGAGGGAGGGAAGGGAAGAAGAAAAAAGAAGGAAGGAAGGAAGGAGGGAGGGAGGGAGGGAGGGAAGAAAGGAGAGAGGGAGAGAAGGGAAGGAAGGAAGGGAGGAAGGAGGGAGAGAAGGGAAGGAAGGAAGGGAGGAAGGAGGGAGAGAAGGGAAGGAAGAAAGAAAGAAAAAAGGAGGAAGGAAGGAAGGAAGGAAGGAAGGAAGGAAGGAAGGAAGGAAGGAAGGAAGGAAGGAAGGAAGGAAGGAAGGAAGGAAAAGGGAGAGAATGAACTGACAGGAATTGAAGTCCAACCATCTTAATGCTGGCTGGCTGGCTGGGGGATTCTGGGAGTTGAAGTCTTCCATCTTCAAACGGCCAGCTTTGAAACACACTGGTCCACATGGAGAACATCTAAAAGGCATTTGACATCTGTCCAAGGAAGATAAGGGGCCAGTGGACTTTCCTGTGTCCCCTTCATGCTTTCTGCATTTAAGCCGCCCTTGTAATCTGTTTTGAATTGGGTTTCTTTTCTCAAAGAGGCCTCCGGGCGGTGGCAGAGGGTCGGGTGTTATTAAATTCATGTAATAAATAATATGCAGGATAAAAGCCTGGGCCTTCTTTTCCCATGTATATATTTTCTCCCTCTAGGTATGAACGTCATGGAAAGTTCTCCCTACGAGCCCTTTGTAAGGGGGTTTGACTATGTCCGGCTGGCGTCCATCACGGCAGGTAAGGCGTGAAAATGACGGGACGCCATATTGTTGCAACCGGGGGGGAAATTAAGAAAGCCCTTTTAATGTATTAGGTTTTCTTCATCTTACCTGACTTACGTTTATAAGTAACGTTTTTAAGGTGGCAAACAATCCTGATACGCCTTCCTTCTCCTATTTTTCCCATAACAACAACCCTGTGAGGTGGGTTGGGCTGACAGAGAAGGGTGGGACTGGCCCAAAGTCACCCAGCCAGCTTTCATGCGTAAGGCGGGACTAGAACTCACCATCTCCTGGTGATTGACCCAAAGTCACCCAGCTGTTTTTCATGCCTAAGGCGGGACTAGAACTCACTGTCTCTTGGTGATTGGCCCAAAGTCACCCTGTCAGCTTTCATGCGTAAGGCGGGACTAGAACTCACCGTCTCCTGGTGATTGGCCCAAAGTCATCCAGTCGACTTTCATGCCTAAGGCGGGAGTAGAACTCACCGTCTCCTGGTGATTGGTCCAAAGTCACCCTGTCAGCTTTCATGCATAAGGCGGGACTAGAACTCACCGTCTCCTGGTGATTGGCCCAAAGTCACCCTGTCAGCTTTCATGCATAAGGCGGGACTAGAACTCACCGTCTCCTGGTGATTGGCCCAAAGTCATCCAGTTGGCTTTCATGCCTAAGGCGGGACTAGAACTCACAGTCTCCTGGTGATTGGCCCAAAGTCATCCTGTCAGCTTTCATGCCTAAGGTGGGACTAGAACTCACCGTCTCCTGGTGATTGGCCCAAAGACACCCAGTCTTCTTTCCCTCCTAAGGCAGTTCTAGATTGCTGCCTTAACCACTAGACCACACTTTTTCTATTCTAGTCCCCTTTGTACAAAAGTGGCCCTCGGCACATGCTCAGAACAGCACAACTCTTTTCTCTGTCTCTTGAGATCTTTTCTAAGATGGTCGTCCGGGGAGCTTCTTAGCCCCGGTGGGGGGGGCACTTTCCCAAAGGCCGACTCCGTTTCCCCTGCGCCTTGCCGACAAAGATGGACAGCTCCAGCCGCTTCCAAGAGAACACATCATATGTTCTGCAAGGGCCCTAATTAGGAATACCATTATGCTGGGTAATTGGCCGATCAATCCTGGTTTCCCGCTTTCCGCTCGCCGAGTGGGGTTCAAGGTGACAGAGGCATGGGAAATGGACTCCGAACATGCTCCATTAGACAATTCCATCAGAGGGAGGTCGCCCGGCCGAAGCGGGCTGAACTCCGCCAGGTTTTCTGTCCTCAGCAGAAAGTTTTACTTTGTGCTCTGTAGTTCCTCAATTTAAGATGGGGGGACTTCAACTCCCAGAATTCCCCAGCCAGCAAAGGAATTCTGGGAGTTGAAGTCCACCCATCTGAAGGCTTGCTGGCTGCGGAATTCTGGGAGTTGAAGTCCACCCATCTTAAAGCTTTCTGTCTGGGGGATTCTGGGAGTTGAAGTCCACTCATCTGAAAGCATGCTGGTTGGGGGATTCTGGGAGTTGAAGACCACCCATCTTAAAGCTTTCTGTCTGGGGGATTCTGGGAGTTGAAGTCCACTCATCTGAAAGCATGCTGGTTGGGGGATTCTGGGAGTTGAAGACCACCCATCTTAAAGCTTGCTGGCTGGGTGATTCTGGGAGTTGAAGACCACCCATCTTAAAGTTTGCTGGCTGGGGGATTCTGGGAGTTGAAGTCCACTCATCTGAAAGCATGCTGGTTGGGGGATTCTGGGAGTTGAAGACCACCCATCTTAAAGCATGCTGACTGAGGAATTCTGGGAGTTGAAGTCCACCCATCTTAAAGCTGGCTGGCTGGGGGATTTTGGGAGTTGAAGACCACCCTTCTTAAAGCTTTCTGGCTGGGGGATTCTGGGCAACTCCCAGAATTTAAGATGGGGGGGACTTCAATTCCCAGAATTCCCCAGCCAGCAAAGGAATTCTAGGAGTTGAAGTCCACCCATCTTAAAGCATGCTGACTGAGGAATTCTGGGAGTTGAAGTCCATCCATCTTAAATCTTGCTGGTTGGGGGATTCTGGGAGTTGAGGTCATGTGAAAAACAATCATAACTCACTTTTTTCAGTACTGTTGTAACCTCTGAGTCAAAAAAAATCAATGGTTGTAAATTGTGGGCTATCTCTGTAACACTGAAACGGCTCCATTCACTTCCATGGAGACAGTTCAGAGTTTCTGGCTAGAGCTTTAGTCCCCAGGAAAAAGAAAAGTGAACAGGGATACAATCGCTCTCCTAAACGTTTTGAAACACAAGCATCTCCAGGGAAGGGGCAGCCGGAAAAATGAAGACGGTGCCTGCAACTGCACAAAGTTGCTTCTTCGTATTTGTGACGCTCCTGTGGGAACCTGAGTCTCGAATGGCTGTCACAGAACCAGAAATTTAAGTGACAGGAAGTCAAATGCTGGTTGACTGTTGGAGCAATGTCCCCAGAAAAGAAATGGAGTAGAATTCTATTCTGTTCTGTTCTATATTCTATTCTCTATCCATTCCATTCTCTATTCTATTCTATTCTATTCTGTTCTGTTCTGTTCTGTTCTGTTCTATTAAGTCCTGTCCTATCCTATCCTATCCTATCCTATCCTATCCTATCCTATATTCTATCCATTCCATATTATTCTCTTCTCTTTTCTTCTCTTCTCTTCTCTATTCTATTCTATTCTATTCTATTCTATTCTATTCTATTCTATTCTATTCTATTCTATTCTATTCTATATTCTATCCATTCTATATTATTCTCTTCTCTTCTCTTTCCATTCCATTCTCTATCCCAAGGCTTTTCAACCAGTGGTATGAGTACCACCTGTGGTACATTGGCACCTGGCAGGTGGTACGCAACCATCCTAGAAAAGTGGTAGCGGGAGAGGGGAATGGGCTGAACTGGTGGCAGCATCGCACAAGCCTGAGTGAGAGACGGCTGGAGCTGCAGGGCTCAGCGGAAGCGCCAGGATCAGCGCTTCTTCGGGGCTGTCAGGGCTCAATGGAAGCGCCAGGATCAGCGCCATGCTCCAGCTGGAGCTCGGCGCTGATCCTGGCGCTTCTGCTGAGCCCACAAGAAGCGCCAATCAGCTGGAATGTTGCAGCCTCTCCAGGGTCTTGTGATTTACATTCAGATGCTTGGCCACTGATTCATATGTATGATGGTCACAGTCTCCCAGGGTCATGTGAAGGGACCAAAACCTGCTGCAACCACCCAGCAGACGGGGGGGGGGGAGGGAATAAAAACCAAACACCCCCCACCCCCACTGCCAATCTTCAACAGAAATGCTCACAACAATGAAAACCTCGGACAGGAGGTTATCAAGTTTTTGACACCTTGCTAGGAGACTGGTGGTACTCAGATATTGCCATATCCTAAATGTGGTACAATGGGTGAAAAGGTTGAAAAGCCCTGCTCTATCCTATCCTATCCTATCCTATCCTGTCCTATCCTATCCTATCCTATCCTATCCATATTCTGTTCTGTTCTGTTCTCTTCTGCTCTGCTCTGCTCTATTCTGTTAATGGTTTTTCTGCTTTTAGCTGACCTAGTAGCCTACATATATAGCAAGGAGAAATAAGACTGCGAACAAGCCGATGAATCAACCTAGAAAACCTCTGTCAAAGGAGAAATATTCATCCAGTGGTTTTATCATTTTTAATTGGGGCTTTTATTATATTTCCTTCATAGTCTCTTGCTGTCTCTGCCACATCTCCAAAGGTTGAACAGCCAAGAGTCTGGGATTTATATTTTTTTTCTTTCATTGCAATTCCTGACCTGTGCGGTTTAGACTGGATGATTCGTAGCTGCCTGACCGGCCGTACTCAGCATGTGGTCCTCAATGGAACCGTATCTACATGGAGGAAAGTGTGTAGGGGGTGCCCCAGGGCTCTGTTCTGGGCCCAGTGCTTTTCAACATCTTCATCAACGATTTGGATGAAGGGATAGATGGGGAACTCATCAAATTTGCAGACGACACCAAGCTGGCAGGAATAGCCAACACTCCAGAAGACAGGCTTCAGGTACAGAAGGATCTGGACAGACTTGAACACTGGGCACTAACTAACAAAATGAAATTCAATGGTGAAAAAAACAAGGTTCTACATTTAGGCAAGAAAAACCAAATGCACAAGTACAGCATAGGTGACACCATGCTCAATAGTAGTAACTGTCAGAGGGACCTCGGAGTCCTAGTAGACAATCACCTAAATATGAGCCAGCAGTGTGCTGCAGCTGCCAAAAAGGCCAACGCAGTGCTAGGCTGCATTAACAGAGGGATAGAATCAAGATCATGTGAAGTATTAATACCACTTTACAAGGTCTTAGTAAAGCCACACTTGGAATACGGCATCCAGTTTTGGTCACCACAATGTAAAAAAGACGCTGAGACTCTAGAAAGAGCACAGAGAAGAGCAACAAAGATGATCAGGAGACTGGAGGCTAAAACATATAAGGAACGGTTGCTGGAATTGGGTATGTCTAGTTTAATGAAGAGAAGGATGAGGGGGCAAATGATAGCAGCCTTCCAGTATCTCAGGGGCTGCCCCAAAGAAGAGGGAGTCAAGCTATTCTCCAAAGCACCAGAAGGCAGGACAAGAAGCAACAGATGGAAACTAACCAAATAGAGAAGCAACCTGGAACTAAGTAGAAACTTCCTGACCATTAGAACAATTAACCAGTGGAACAGCCTGCCTCCAGAAGCTGTGAATGTGCCAATGTTGGATGTTTTTCAGAAGAGACTGGACAGCCATTTGTCTGAAATGGTATAGGGTTTCCTGCATGAGCAGGGGGTTGGACTAGATGACCTCCAAGGTACCTTCCAACTTTATTATTATTATTATTATTATTATTATTATTATTATTATTATTGATCATCGCACAGTCAGCCAGATGTTCAGACTGGATTTAGCATTTTGTTTACCTAAAAAATATTATTATTTTGTCTACCTAAAAATATTATTATTATTATTATTATTATTATTATTATTATTATTATTATCATCATCATCATCATCATCATCATCATTATCGTTATTACCTCCAGGGTTACTTCCATGGTAGAACAGCATGCCACCACCTCCTTTGTGTCTTTCTGCTCTGCAGGCTCTGAGAACGAGGTCACGCAGGTGAACCGCTGCTTGGACGCCGCCAAAGCCTGTAACGTGGACGAGATGTGCCAGCGACTCCGGACCGAGTACGTGTCCTCTTGCATCCGTCGGGGGCCCCGGGCGGACCCCTGCAACCGGTCCAAGTGTCACAAGGCCTTGCGGAAGTTCTTCGACCGGGTGCCCCCCGAGTACACGCATGAGCTGCTCTTCTGCCCCTGTGTCGACACGGCCTGCGCCGAGAGACGCCGGCAGACGATTGTGCCCGCCTGCTCCTACGAAGCCAAGGAGAAGCCGAACTGCTTGGCGCCGCTGGACGCGTGCCGAGGAAACTACGTCTGCAGGTACCACCACTCGCCTGCCCCAGAGGTGCTTTCCTCTTTTGCCTTTGAAGACGTTTCACTTCTTATCCCAGATGCTTCTCCAGTTCTTTGTGGATGGTGGGGAAGGAAGGAAGGAAGGAAGGAATCAGGAGGGGCGGCTGGCTGAGGAATTCTGGGAGTTGAAGTCCACGAGTCATAAAAGGGCCCAGTTTGAAGACCCCTGATGTAGACTTTAAGAGGAGTGGGCTTCAACTCCCAGAATTCCTCAGCCAGCGTGCCTAGCTGAGGAATTCTGGGAGCTGAAGTCCACAAGTCATAAAAGGGCCAAGTTTGAAGACCCCTGATATAGACTTTAAGAGGAGTGGACTTCAACTCCCAGAATTCCTCAGCCAGCGTGCCTAGCTGAGGAATTCTGGGAGTTGAAGTCCACAAGTCATAAAAGGGCCAGGTCTGAAGACCGCTGGCATACACCATAATCACTTTTTCAGCGCTTGGCCACCAGCTCACCTTTACGGCCATCCCCTTGCCTCAGTTTGCGACGGTTTTGGCCGGTTTCTGGTGTTGATTTCCCGCTTTTGATTAAGAAAACCCATTGGTAGGGAGAAATGGACTCGCTTCCTCCCCCCCCACAGCAAAAACTGTCAAAAAAATCCAGTCCAGTCCCATGATGTCTCGACATACGATCGCAATGACTGCCAATCACGGTCGTAAGTCAAGGACCACCTAGTATACTGGACTGAAAACTAAGCGAGTGGGAGTTTTAGTCCTCTCTAAAGCACAGAAGCCTTCGGGCCAGTCTCTCCCTTTCTCTCTTAGCCTAGCCCACCTCACAGGACTGTTGTTAGGGGGAAAGTAGAAGGCAGGAGCATTAAATATAGGTCACACTTTGAGTTGTGCCAAACCAAAGAGGGAGGTAAATCTGGTAAAAAATAAAATACCCATCCTGAGCTGACTTGAATTCATTGTGGGCCGTTCGTTCGTTCGTTTGTTCACATTCCACTTTTATTATTTTTTAAGTAATCGAAGGCACATAAAACTCCTTCTTCCTATTTTCCCCACCACACCAACCCTGCGAGGTAGACTGTGTTGAGAGAAAGTGACTAGCCAAAAGGCACCCAGCTGACTTTCATGGCTAAGGCGGGACTAGAACTCATTGGCACCTGGTGATTGGCCCAAAGGCACCCAATTTGACTTTCATTCCTAAGACAGGATTAGAACTCAGCGTCTTCTGGTGATTGGCCCAAAATAACCCAGCCGGCTTTCACTCGTAAGGCGGGACTAGAACTCACCGTCTCCTAGTAATTGGCCCAAAATCACCCAATTTGACTTGCATGGCTAAGGCGGGACTAGAACTCACTGGCACCTGGTGATTACCCCAAAAGCACCCAGCTGGCATTCATGGCTAAGGCGGGACTAGAACTCACTGTCACCTGGTGATTGGCCCAAAAGCACCCAGTTGACTTTCATGGCTAAGGCGGGACTAGAACTCACTGTCACCTGGTGATTGGCCCAAAGGCACCCAATTTGACTTTCATGGCTAAGGCGGGACTAGAACTCACTGTCACCTGGTGATTGGCCCAAAGGCACCCAATTTGACTTTCATGACTAAGGCGGGACTAGAACTCACTGTCACCTGGTGATTGGCCCAAAGGCACCCAATTTGACTTTCATGGCTAAGGCGGGACTAGAACTCACTGTCACCTGGTGATTGGCCCAAAGACACCCAATTTGACTTTCATGGCTAAGGCGGGACTAGAACTCACTGTCACCTGGTGATTGGCTCAAAGGCACCCAATTTGACTTTCATGGCTAAGGCGGGACTAGAACTCACTGTCACCTGGTGATTGGCCCAAAGGCACCCAGCCGACTTTCATGGCTAAGGCGGGACTAGAACTCCCAGTCTCCCAGTCTGCCTTCACCCCTGGATCAGATCCGCTTGCAGGCCAAGTGTTAGCAAATAGGAACCTCTCTACAATCCTGCTTCAACTCTGGCAAGGATTCTCGACACCTTTTTAATTCTGGCCCTGGACCATATGTTGCTACTCTCCTCGCCATCACAGCTCTCCAGTGCTTGGGGCCCATGTTTATTTTTTTACACAGTGGGTTTTGCGCACACACACACACACACAGAGAGACAGACACACACACCCAGACACCCGAAAACAGCATCAGCCATGAAGGATGTTGTTGGCTGTAGCAGAAAAGGGGGATTCAGAACCGCTGGCGTGCAGAGAAAGCAAAGAGGCAGGAGGTTGTGTTGCTTTGTCCTTGCCTTCACACAACCAGCTGCAGAGCTGGAAAGCAACTTGCCAGGCTAGGGCCAAAGTCACCCTAGGTACGTTCCTCGTAAGGGGCACCGATGGCTGGGGACGATAGGCTTTCCTGCCTCGCGAGAAATAAACCCTTTCCGGCTTTCGTCTGCAGAGAATGGCTGATTGGCAACCCTGAATTTCCCAACCATCAGCCGCGTCTTTATAGCCTCCCTGTTAGGCCAAAATTTTGCCTTCTCTGCCGATAAAAAAAAACAACGAGGGTCTTTATTCCTCGACTTACGACCACGTTCGTTAGACTTACGTCAAGCTTTTTTTCTGCTGCAGAGAGAGGCGGCTTACACGGGAACACAGGTAAATCTGTAATCAGGTGTTACATCTCCTGCGGAAAATGCATCGGCTGCCATTTTGCTTCCGGATCCAATTCAAGGTGAAGCTGTCACCTTCGAAAGCTCTGCCTGGCTTGGAACCAAGTTATTTGAACGACCGTCTTTTTCTAGTTACGTCTCCCTGACCTAGCGGAGAAGGCAGGCAAGGGGTGTTAGGGATCCCCCTTTTAAGGGACTCCATCTGGTGGAACCCAGAGAAAGGGCCGTCTCCGTGGTGGCTCCTTCCTTGTGGAATGTCATCCCTGCGGAGATAAGACCTCGTTCTGCCCACAGGCCTGGGGACCCCAAGGTGATCCGGAGCCCATGAAGTGGCGTCTCTGATTGACCCAACTACGTCACATCATCAGGGCTAGAAGGAAGTGGGTTTGTCTGTCTGGATACATGCAAGTAGCTGGTGGCTTGTCCTGGCTTGGGGGGTGTTTCTGATGGTGCCTGCTGAACACTCCCATCAGCACTGAGGGAGCAAACCACTACTAGGTAAAAAGAGAGCGAAGCCACTCCTTTCTTGCACTGATGATGTCACCTAGTTGGGTCATGAGACGTCTGCAAGAAAACCACCAAGCTCGGAGAGCATCAAGAATCCCTGAGTCTTCTTCCTCCTCCTCCTCTTCCTCTGCTCCTGCTCCTCGGCACAATCCCACTCCCTTCTAGCACTGATGACATTACCTAGCTGGGTCATGAAACATCTGCAACAAAACCACCCAGCTCAGAGAGCACAAAAGACCCTCCTTCTTCTCCTTCTCCTTCTCCTCTTTCTCCTTCTCCTTCTTCCTCCTGTCCACAAATCTTTCTCCCTTCTTGCACTGATGGTGTTACCTAGTTGGGTCATGAGACGTTTGCAAGAAAACCACCAAGCTCGGAGAGCATCAAGGATCCCTGAGTCGTCCTCCTCTGCCTCCTCCTCTGCCTCCTGCTCCTCCCCACAATTCCACTCCCTTCTAGCACTGATGACGTTACCTAGCTGGGTCATGAAATGTCTGCAAGAAAACCACCCAGCTCAGAGAGCACAAAAGACCCTCCTTCTTCTCCTTCTCCTTCTCCTCTTTCTCCTTCTCCTTCTTCCTCCTGTCCACAAATCTTTCTCCCTTCTAGCACTGATGATATTACCTAGGTGGGTCATGAAACGTCTGCAAGTCCACAAGTCTTCTGGGAGCTGGCCCAAATGCTTGATAAGATTAGAGCAGGGGTCTTCAAACTTGGCCCTTTTATGACCTGTGGACTTCAACTCCCAGAATTCCCCAGTCAGCAAGGCTGACTGGGGAATTCTGGGAGTTGAAGTCCACATGTCTTCTAGGAGTTGCCCCAAATGGTTGATACAGATTATTAAGGCAAAGATCACCTTGTGTTGCCTCTTTCCATCTCTTTTCTTCTGCTGGCCAGGCTTTCCAGTGGCTCTGGAAAAGTTTTGTCTCCCTTTGATAAATGGAAATATAAATATAAATAATGTAAAATTCTGTTGTTCGCATTTCTCTGCCTCTGGGTTTTAGCATGCCTTTCATCCCTTTTTTCACTTGTTAACTGTTTTGATCTTGGCTGATGTTTAATAAATAAATGAAGACTGGGTTTTTTTTATCCTAGCTTTTTGAGTGGCAGGTGTGCGTGCTTTGATATGGAAGGAGAACAGATTAGGAATGTCCTGGTTGCAAACAAAGGTAGAAATCACCCACTGCAGTTCTATGCTGTATCTTTTTCTTTCTTTCTTTCTTTCTTTCTTTCTTTCTTTCTTTCTTTCTTTCTTTCTTTCTTTCTTTCTTTCTCTTCTATTATCTATCTATCTTTTATAGAATAGAATAGAATAGAATAGAATAGAATAGAATAGAATATTCTGCTCAGGCAGGAAACCCTATCTATTTCTATATCTGTCTGTCTGTCTGTCTATCTATCTATCTATCTATCTATCTATCTATCTAATCATCTCTATCTATCTATCTAAGTATCTATGTCTATATCTATCTATATCTATCTATATATCTATCTGTCTCTGTCTTGTCTATCTATATCTATGTCTATCTATCTATCTATCTATCTATATCTGTCTATCTATATCTGTCTGTCAATCAGTCTGTTTCTCTATCTATCATCTATCTATCTATCTATGTCTATCTATATCTATCTATATATATCTGTCTGTCATCTATCTATCTATATGTCTATCTATCTATATGTCTATCTATCTATCTATCTATCTATCTATCTATCTATCTATATCTATCTATCTCTTTGTCAATCAGTCTGTCTTGTCTATCTATCTATGTCTATGTCTGTCTGTCTATCTGTCATCTATCTATCTATCTATCATCTCTATCTATCTAAGTATCTATGTCTATATCTATCTATATCTATCTATATATCTGTCTATCTGTCTCTGTCTTGTCTATCTATATCTATGTCTGTCTATCTATCTATCTATCTATCTATCTATCTATATCTATCTATCTATGTCTATCTATCTATCTATCTATATCTATCTGTCTGTCTGTCAATCAGTCTGCTTCTCTATCTATCTATCATCTATCTATCTATGTCTATCTATATCTATCTATATATATCTGTCTGTCATCTATCTATCTATATGTCTGTCTATCTATCTATCTATCTATCTATCTATCTATATCTGTCTATCTATCTCTTTGTCAATCAGTCTGTCTTGTCTATCTATCTATATCTATGTCTATCTGTCTATCTATCTATCTATCTATCTATCTATCTATCTATCTATCTATCTATCTATCTATCTTTCAACCATCTATTTTCCATCCCTCCCTCCATCCATCCTGCCCCATTCCCACGTTTTCCCCTCCCTCCCTTTTGTGCCCTGCCAGCCAGGACCAGCGACTCCACCCGGCCCTTAACGGCGTCCCATTTGCCCCCCTTCCTCTCTCCTAGATCTCGCTATGCTGAGTTCCAGGTCAACTGCCAGCCCTCTGGACTCCCCTCAGGAACCGGATGCCAGAAGGAAAACTACGCCGCCTGTTTATTGGCCTACACTGGCATCATAGGTAGGGGGGGGGCTGTCTTTATTCTAATGCTCTCGAGAACGGCGGGGAGATTTTGCATTTATTTAGTTATTTAATGCGTCGGTTTAATTGCTCATGGCAGAAGCTTCTGTTCTGGAAGTCAACGGTCTCTTGGCAGGCCGCTCTTCCGATGCCCCGCAAAATCCTCCAGCAGGAATGTGGGTGAAGTGGGCAAAATGGCGGATGCAGCTCACGATGCATCCGCCATCTTGCCCATTTGAACAGACCCACCTCTGCGGAGGCCACTAATCCCAAGAGAAGCCCCCAGGAGGACAATTTGCCTTCCAGGGCTTTATTTTCATTATCTGTCTGGAAAACCTCTCTCTACGCTACAAGTGTAAGGCCACACCTGGAGTGCTGCATCCAGTTTTGGTCGCCATGATGTAAAAAAGATGTTGAGACTCTGGAAAGAGTGCAGAGAAGAGCAACAAGGATGATTAGGGGACTGGAGGCTAAAACATAGAAGGAACGGTTGCTGGAATTGGGGATGTCTAGTTTAATGAAGAGAAGAATGAGGGGGGACAGTATAGCAGTGTTCCTGTATCTCAGGGGCTGCCCCAAAGAAGAGGGAGTCATGCTCTTCTCCAAAGCGCCTGAAGGCAGGACAAGAAGCAACGGATGGAAAATCATCAAGGAGAGAAGCAACCTAGAACTAAGGAGAAACTTCCTGACAGTTAGAACAATTAACCAGTGGAACAACCTGCCTCCAGAAGCAGTGAATGCTCCAACACTGGAAGTTTTAAAGAAGAGACTGGACAGCCGAAATGGTATAGGGTCTCCTGCTTGAGCAGGGAGTTGGACTAGATGACCTCTAAGGTTTCTTCCAGCTCTATTTTATTCTAAGATACATTAATAGATAGATAGATAGATAGATAGATAGATAGATAGATAGATAGATAGATAGATAGATAGATAGATAGATAGACAGAAGATGGATGGATGGATGGATAATAGATAGATGAGATAGATAGATAGATAGATAGATAGATAGATAGATAGATAGATAGATAGACAGATGGATGAATAGATGGATGGTTAATAGATAGATGAGATAGATAGATGATAGATAGATAGATAGATAGATAGATAGATAGATAGATGATAGACAAACAGATATACAAATAGATGGATAGACAGATAGATAGATATAGATGGATGATAGATAATGGGAAAATTTTTAGTGATAAATATGTTAATTTTAGGTTGGATTATATTCAGAAACTGTAAAATACAATCTTTGCTGAGGAAGTTTGGCTACATCAGGCATAGTAATTACTAAGAGAATTATGTTGATAATTGGGAAAGTATTATTATTCCAAATATTAAGGTTTGGATTCAGGCCATGTGTAATATATCCATTTTTTTAAAAAGTGAAATATGAATAATACATTGCATTCTTCGGATACAGTGGTATTTAGACCAGGGGGACTGGAGATTGTTAACACTCTGATGATTTAGAACCCTTTAACCTTTAAAACTAAAGAAAACAGATTTATATCAATGTTAACTAAGATTTCTAAAATATTAATGTTGATAAGCCAAAGGTTGCTTAGCTTTTTTACATCTAAAATCGAGTGTGGCACCGATAAACAACTGCCACATAATGTTAAATTATTTATTTTATGCTAAAGATTTCTATCTTAAGCTTAATACTTAAAACTAAGGTCTCCGTGGTATTGTTCCTTGTTTTTGCATATTAAAAGGAAAAAATGAAACTTCCCCTTAATGTACGCCCTGGCAATTTGCAGTATTTATAAAAATATAACCCCCATTTAAAAAAAATAGTAACTTATCCCTCTTTTTTTGCAAAGAGATTATTTTCCACTCTTCCAAAAAAGCTGCAATCTGCTTCTGTTTGCCTGGAATTCATAACGCCATCTTCTCTTTTTTCACTAGAAATCTTCCTACAGGATACTGTTAAATATTTTAAAGCTAAGTAACAGGCTTAGAATGTTTATACAATTTTCTTTTTCGGTTTTGGGTTTTATTTTTTAATCCTTCATTCCGACGTTTCTAGTTTGTTCTGTGCTTTTGAAAAAAAAACAAAGTCTAATTTTTTTCCAGGTTGGTAATAAAATGAAAGGTTTTTCTTAAAACCCGTTGTACAGGTAGACCTCAACGTATCACCAAAATTGAGCCCAAAATTGATGTTGCTAAGTGAGCCAGTTCTTGTGAGTTTTGCCTCACTTTACGACCTTTCTAGCTACAGACATTAAGTGAATCCAGCTTGCCCATTGACTTTGCTTGTCAGAAGATCGCAAAAGTGGATCACGTGACCACGGGACATTGCAACCGTCATAAATACGAGTTAGTGACCCAAGTGTCTGAATTTGATCACGGGACCACAGAGGAAGCTGTAACGGTCATAACTGTGAAAAACAGTCATAAGTCACTTTTTTCAATGCCGTTGTAACTTTGAACGGTCATAAATTGAGGTCTACCTGTATAGCAATGTTTCTCAACTTGGGCCATTTTAAGATGGGTGGACTTCAACTCCCAGAATTCCTGAGCCAGCCATGCTGAGGGGAAAGGGAGAGGTTTCCAAGCTGAGCCATGCTGGCTCAGGAATTCTGGGAGTTGAAGTCCACGAGTCATAAAAAAAGCCAAGGTTGCCTACCCCTGGCCTAGCCACAACAGCTGCGAACTGCTGATTAGCCCAAGTTTGCTGGCTCAGGAATTCTGGGAGTTGAAGTCCCCCAGTCATAAAGCGGCCTAGGCCTAGGCCAGGGGTGGGCAACCTTGGCTCTTTTATGACTCATGGACTTCAACTCCCAGAATTCCTGAACCAGCATGGCTCAGCTTGGACACCTCTCCCTTTCCCCTCAGCATGGCTGTCTCAGGAATTCTGGGAGTTGAAGTCCACAAGTCATGAAGGGGCCATAGTTCCCTCATGCTGGCTCAGGAATTCTGGGAGTTGAAGTCCACGAGTCATAAAAGAGACAAGGTTGCCTACCTCTGGCCTAGGCCTAGGCCGCTTTATGACCTGTGGACTTCAACTCCCAGAACTCCTGAGCCAGCAGGGCTCAGCTTGGAAACCTCTCCCTTTCCCCTCAGCATGGCTGGCTCAGGAATTCTGGGAGTTGAAGTCCACGAGTCGTAAAAGGGCCAAGGTTGCCTACCCCTGGGTTAGGGTGCAAGGAAATTGACTTAAATGTACTGAAGGTTTTTAAGAAGAGATTGGGCAGCCATTTGTCTGAAATGGCAAAGGGCCTCCTGCTTGAGCAGGGGGTTGGACTAGATGACCTCCGAGGCCCCTTCCGGCTCTACTCTGATGGATTGATTGACGTGCAGGAGAGGTATTTTACAGAGGAGTTTTTCAGCCTCGGCCATTTCATAATGATGTTTTTTTTTTCAAGCTCGGTCGCTTGAAGAGACGTGGACTTCAACTCCCAGAATTCCCCAGCCAGCCACGGCTGGCTGGGGAATTCTGGGAGTTGAAGTCCGCAAGTCTTCAAGTTGCCCCGTTGGGGGGAGGGAAAAAAAACGTGGAAAAGTTTTCCTTGCTTCCTCAGAGACGCTCTCTATTCCTTCCCTCCCCTCGGCAGGCAGCACCATCACGCCCAACTACATCGACAACTCGACCGCCAACATTGCGCCCTGGTGCACTTGCAACGCCAGCGGGAACCGGCAGGAAGAGTGTGAGCGCTTCCTGCACCTTTTCACCGACAATCTCTGCCTCCGTAAGTGTTGCCTCGCTGAGCGCGTCGGAGACGGTTCGGTGGAGGAGGCGCCTTGCTTGGGACTGCGGTCCTTGGCGGCTGGTGGGGGGACGTTTGGGCCTTTCCAAAGGGCCTTTTCTTTTGGCTGTCTTTCCCTGCGACTAGACGGAGAGGGCAAGCCGCTAGTCTATAAAGAGAAAGCAAAGCCCACTCCCTTCTAGCACTGATGATGTGACCTAGTTGGGTCATGAAAGGTCTACAAAAACCACCCAGCTCAGAGAGCACCAAGGACCCTACAGTCTTCCTCCTCCTCCTCCTCCTCTTCCTCCCCCTCCTCCTCCTCTCCTCTGCAACCCTCCCCCCTTCTAGCACTGATGATGTGACCTAGTTGGGTCATGAAAGGTCTACAAGAAAACCAACAAGGTGAGACAGCATTAAGGACCTCACAATCATCCCCCTCCTCCTCTTTCTCTTTCTCCTCCTCCTCTTCCTCACAAACCCCACTCCCTTCTACAACTGATGATGTTCCATAGTTGGCTAATGAAATATCTGCAAGAAAACAACAAAGCTCAGACAGCATGAAGGACACCACCCTCTACTTTTATTACATTTGTGGTGCATTTCATCACTTCTTCTTCTTCTTCTTCTTCTTCTTCTTCTTCTTCTTCTTCTTCTTCTTCTTCTTCTTCTTCTTCTTCTTCTTCTTCTTCTTCTTCTTCTTCTTCTTCTTCTTCTCCTTCTTCTCCTCCTCCTCCTTCTTCTTCTCCCCCCTCTTCCCTTCCTTCCTTCCTCTTTCTTTGTTTCTTCCTTCCTTCCTTCCATCCATCCATTCATCCTTCCTTTCTTTTTCTTCTTTCTTTTTTTCTTTCTTTCTTTCTTTCTTTCTTTCTTTCTTTCTTTCTTTCTTTCTCTTTCTTTCTTTTTCTTTCTTTCTTTCTTTCTTCCTTCCATCCATCCTTTCTCTTTCTTTCTTTCTTTCTTTCTTTCTTTCTTTCTTTCTTTCTTCCTTTCTTCTTTCTTTCTTTCTTTCTTTCTTTCTTTCTTTCTTTCTTTCTTTTCCTCCTCCTCCTCCTCCCCCTCCTCCTCCTCCTCCTCCTTTCTCCTAAGAGGGGAGATTTATTGCCAGGTCTGCAGTGAGTCCTGATGCTTATTCAGACCAGGTCTTTGGAGAGAGCACGAGTGTGTGTGCTTCAACAAATGTCCGATGTCTCCTTGAGGATGAAAGAAGAGAGCCTTGTAAGGTGGGGGGACGACAGCCTCATCCCAGAGGGGAGTAAGTCTCCATCCATCAAAGCCCATTGAGGATGCCAAACGATCCAGCCTCAAGGCAAGGTGATGGGATTGAAGCCGGAAGGACACCAGGCTAGTCTCAGCATCTTCAGTGTGTGTGTGTGTGTGTGTCACTTTGCCACCCAGACAGGCTGGCTGTCCCTTTTTGAGCAGCTTTCCATAAGTGAGGGATGGGAACTACAACTGGTCCTTGATTTACAACAGTTCATTTAGTGACCGTTCAGAAGTTACAACGGCACTGGAAAAAAGTGACTTAGGACCGTTTTTCACACTTAACGACCGTTGCAGCATCCCCAGGGTCACGTGATCCAAATTCGGAAGCTTGGCAAGTGACTCCTATTTATGACGGTTTACAAGCAGTGTTTCTCAACCTTGACCATTTTAAGGCATGTGGACTTCAACTCCCAGAATTCCACAGCCAGCAGTGCTGGCTGTGGAATTCTGGGAGTTGAAGTCCACATGCCTTAAAATGGTCAAGGTTGAGAAACACTGGTTTACAGTGTCCCTGGGCTCTTCTGACCCCGCCTTTTGCGACCTCTTGACAAGCAAAGTCAGAAGCCAGATCCACTTAACAACCGTGTAGCTAACTTAACAGCTGCAGTGATTCACTTAACAAGTGAGGTGAGAAAGGTTATTAAAATGGGGCAAAACTCACTTAGCGACCGACTTGCTTAGCAATATAAATTTTGGGCTCTACTGTCATAAGTCAAGGACAACCTGAAATCAAGGAGAGACCCCATGTAGAACTAAGGAGAAATTTCCTGACAGTGAGAACAATTAACCAGTGGAACAGATTGCCACCAGATGTGGATGTTTCATCACTGGACGTTTTCAAGAAATGGACAGCCATTTGTCTGAAATACTATAGTGGCTCCAGCCAGAGCAGGGAGTTGGACTAGAGAACCTTCAAGGTCCCTTCCAATTCTGTTATCCCATAGACCAGGGCTCTTCAAACATGGCCCTTTGATGATCTGTGGACTTCAACTCCCAGAATCCCTCAGCCAGGCACGCTGGCTGAGGAATTCTGGGAGTTGAAGTCCACTCCTCTTAAAGTCTATATCAGGGGTCTTCAAACTTGGCCATTTGATGACTGGTGGACTTCAACTCCCAGAATCCCTCAGCCAGGCACACTGGCTGAGGAATTCTGGGAGTTGAAGTCCACTCCTCTTAAAGTCTATATCAGATGTCTTCACTTGGCCCTTTGATGACTGGTGCATTTTAACTCCCAGAATCCCTCAGCCAGGCATGCTGGCTGAGGAATTCTGGGAGTTGAAGTCCACTTCTCTTAAAGTCTATATCAGTGGTTCTCAACCTGTGGGTCGGGACCCCATTTGGGGTCAAATGACCATTTTACGGGGGTCACCAAACCATGCTGTCCGCCATTTTTTTCCCTTTTCCATAGCTGTCCTACTCCCTCTTATTGGTGGCCACACCCACTTGGGGGTCACCACAACATGGGGAACTGTATTATGGGGTCACGGCATTAGAAAGGTTGAGAATCACTGGTCTATATCAAATGTCTTCAAACTTGGCCCTTTGATGACTGGTGGACTTCAACTCCCAGAATCCCTCAGCTGGTGTGCCTGGCTGAGGAATTCTGGGAGTTGAAGTCCACAAGTCATTAAAGGGCCAAGTTTGAAGACCCCTGCTATATACAATGTATTTATGGAAATTGGTCTCCTTATCTAGCTGGTCTTTCTATCTAGCTCCTCAAGGAGAAGCACTAGCCCATTTCCCAGAAATGCTAGCTTTCTGTGTGAAAGGATCATTCAGCCTCCATACCCTCAACCCCCACCCTTCATGAAGTGTAAAGATTCCATTCAGAATAGACTTGGAAGGGACCTTAGAGGTCTTCTAGTCCAACCCCCTGCTTAGACATGAAATCCTCTACCATTCCAGACAAGTGGCTGTCCAGTCTCTTCTTAAAAGCCTCCAGTGATGGAGCACCCACAACAGCTGGTGGCAAGCTGTTCCACTGGTTAATTGTCCTCATTGCTAGGAAGTTTCTCCTTAGTTCCAAGTTGTTTCTCTCCTTGATTTGTTTCCATCCATTGTTTCTTATCCTGCCTTCAGGAGCTCTGGAAAATAAGTTGACCCCCTCCTCTTCTTTGGGGCAGCCCCTCAAATACTGGAATATTGCTATCCTGTCCCCCCCTAGTCCTCCTTCTCACTAGACTAGACACACCCAAGTCTTGCAACTGTTCTTCGTATGTTTTAGTCTTCAGATCTTCTCTGCACTCTTTCCAAAGATCTCAGCATCTTTCTTGCAACGCGGCGAGCCAAACTGGATGCACAACTGATTCCAGCTGGGGGTGTGATGGTTGTGTGTCTCTCACACATCCCTTTTTCCTTCCTTTCAGAAAATGCCATCCAGGCCTTTGACAACAGGACGTATCTGAGCGCCGCCTCCAGTCCGTCCACCTCGCCCACCACCCAGATGAGAAAGCAGGAGAGAAACACCGATAAAGTGTCTGCCACCCACCAGGAGAACATCCTGGAACAGCTGGAACCCACCAAGGTAGACCAAAGGACACGGGCCCACTTTGGGACCGACCCACCGGATGTTTTCAGATCTTTGGGCTGCGTTTGTACCCAAGGCTCCGTTTTGTCAAGCCTGGCTTTGTGGTTTGGTTGTGGGAACGCAATTCATGTGGGTTAGACGGGTCAGGGAAGGGGTTCATTGGTTGGTGGGGGGGTTGTGTGAACACAGCCACGGGGAGGAGTGATCCAATGCTGAGCAGACCCGATTAAATCTGGCCCTTGAATGTGCAAGCGGAAGAGAAGAGCACGGCTTCGATGTCAAAATCAAGACTCTTTCTTACGGTCTTTGACCAGCTTTCCAAGAAAAGGGTGAGAGTTCAACACAGGAAGTCCTCAACTGATAACTATTACTTTAGTGACCGTTGAAAGTTACTACAACACTTTCTATGTATCTATCATCTTATCTACCGTTCTTCCAAGCTCTTATTTCTATCATCTGTCATTATCTATCTTTCTATTTCTTCTATCTCTTCTTTCTTTCATCTATCTTTTTCTCTTCTATCTTGTTTAGCTATCTGTCTATTTATAATTCTTTCTTATCTATCATCTCATCTATATCTGTCTATCTTTATCTTTCATCTATTTGTCTATCTAGCTCTGTCTACCTGTCTCACATCTATCTAGCTATCTGTCTGTGTCTCTCTGTCTGTTTTATCTATCATTCATCTACCTACCTACCTACTTACCTACCTTCCTATCTATCTATCTATCTATCTATCTATCTATCTATCTATCTATCTATCTATCTATCTATCTATCTATCTATCATCTTATCTTATCTTATCTTATCTTATCTTATCTATCTGTCTATCTATCATCTATCTAGCTCTGTCTACCTGTCTCACATCTATCTATCTATCTGTCTGTGTCTGTCTCTCTGTCTATCTTATCTATCATCTCATCTATCTACCTACCTACTTACCTACCTTTCTTCCTATCTATCTATCTATCTATCTATCTATCTATCTATCTATCTATCTCTATCTTATCTGTCTCTTATCTACCTGTCTCACATCTATCTATCTGTCTGTGTCTGTCTGTCTGTCTTATCTATCATTTCATCTACCTACCTACCTACTTACCTACCTTTCTTCCTATCTATCTATCTATCTATCTATCTATCTATCTATCTATCTATCTATATCTTATCTTATCTTATCTGTCTATCTCATCTATCTATCTATCTATCTATCTTATCATCTATTTATCTATCTCTGTCTTATCTATCTTATCTATCTGTCTTATCTTATCTGTCTATCTTATCTATCTATCTTATCTGTCTATCTTATCTATCTGTCTATCTATCTATCTTTATCATCTATCTAGCTCTATCTATCTTATCTATCATCTATCATCCATCCATCCATCCATCCTATCTTATCTTATCTTATCTTATCATCTTATCTTATCTTAATATCATCTCTCATCTATCTAGCTATCTCTGTCTGTCTGTCTGTCTGTCTATCATCTACCTACCTACCTACCTACCATCAAGGTAAATTGATATTCTCAGCTTCAAAGCATCCTCCATTCCTGCAGGCTACGGAGGTCTCCGGGTAGGCACTGTTTTCCTGCCCTTGGGAGAAGTGAGGCTGTCCAGCCATTGTCTTTTGCTCCCCTCCTCCGTAACAAGCTGCCCCCTAGCCAGTGGATTTCTTTTTGGTGAACCTGATTATATCCCTTGTAATCAACCTCAATTTCCTCCTAATTGCTTTCTAATCCCTATTAAAAGCTGCTTGCGAAAAGTCACACAAACGTCAGGGGGTCCTTCTCGTGGGCAGCATCCCAACAAATAAAACTGAAAACATCAGAGCATTCGAGCACCCAGCGTTAAAGAACATGGATCCTCCAGCTTTCTTTTTTCTTTTTAAGCAGAATAATACCCTGTAATAAAAGCAGTCAATAGCATCAGAACTGAAGGCTGCAGTCTATAATTTGGATGTGGGGGAATTAGCAAATAGGCAAAGTCAGCCAGCGTGTTCTCTTGGTTTTACCTTTCTTTCTTATCTTGGTGCGTCCCTCAAAATGTTGGGAGGGAGGGAAGAAGGAAGGAAGGAAGGAAGGAAGGAAGGAAGGAAGGAAGGAAGGAAGGAAAAATGAGAAGAGGGCAGGAGAAAGAGAAAAAGAAAGAAAGGGAAGAAAGAAAGAAAGAAAGAAAGAAAGAAAGAAAGAAAGAAAGAAAGAAACAGAAAGAAGGAAGAAAGGAAAAAGAAAGAAGGAAGAAAGGAAAAAAAGAAAGAAGGAAGGAAGGAAAGAAAGAAAGAAAAAGAAGGAAAGAAAGAAAGAAAGGAAAGAAAGAAAGAAAGAAAGAAAGAAAGAAAGAAAGAAAGAAAGAAAGAAAGGAGAAAAGCAAAGTCTTACACTTAGGCAGGAAAAACCAAAGGCACAAATACAGACTAGGCGAGACCCGGCTGAAAAACAGCAACTGTGAGAGGGACCTTGGAGTCCTAGTGGACGACCAGTTAACTATAAGCCACAGTGTGCAGCAGCAGCCAAAAAAGCTAATACAATCCTGGGTTGTATAAATAAGCATAGAATCAAGATCACACAAAGTATTAGCATCGCTTTATAAAACCCTAGTGAGGCCACACCTCGAATACTGCAGCCAATTTGGGTCACCATATCACAAAAAAGATGTTGAGAGTATGGAAAAAATTCAGAGAAGAGTAACTAAGGTGATCCAAGGCCTGGAGACTAAAACCTACGAAGAACGGCTGCGGGACTTGGGATTGGCTGGTCTAAAGAAAAGAAGACACAGGGGAGACATGATAGCAGTGTTCCGGTATCTGAGGGGCTGCCACAAGGCAGAGGGGGTCAGGTTGTTCTCCAAAGCACCAGAGGGCAGGACGAGAAACAATGGTTGGAAACTGATCAAAGAGAGAAGCAACCTGGAATTAAGGAGAAACTTCCTGACAGTGAGGACAATTAACCAGTGGAACTGCTTGCCACCAGAAATCGTGGGTGCTCCATCACTGGAGACTTTTAAGAAGGGGCTAAACAGTCACTCTGAGGTGGTATAGGACAGGTTCTCCTGCTTGAACAGAGGGCTGGACTAGAAGACCTCCAAGGTCCCTTCCAGCTTCTATTCTATTCTATTCTATTCTATTCTATTCTATTCTATTCTATTCTATTCTATTCTATTCTATATCCATTCTCTATTCTATTGTTCTGTTCTATTCTACTCTACTTACTCTACTCTACTCTGTTCTATTCTATTCTATTCTATTCTATTCTATTCTATTCTATTCTATATCCATTCCATTCTCTATTCTATTCTATTCTATTCTATATCCATTCTATTCTATTCTATTCTATTCTATTCTATTCTATTCTATTCTATTCTATATCCATTCCATTTTCTATTCTATTCTATTCTATTCTATTCTATTCTATTCTATTCTATTCTATTCTATTCTATTCTATATCCATTCCATTCTCTATTCTATTCTATTCTATTCTATTCTATTCTATATCCATTCCATTCTCTATTCTATTCTATTCTGTATCCATTCCATTCTCTATTCTATTCTATTCTATTCTATTCTATTCTATTCTATTCTATATCCATTCCATTCTCTATTCTATTCTATTCTATATCTATATTAATACCACTCTTCAATGCCTTGGTAAGGCCACACTTGGAATACTGCATTCAGTTTTGGTCACCACGATGTAAAAAAGATGTTGAGACTCTAGAAAGAGTACAGAGAAGAGCAACAAAGATGATTAGGGGACTGGAGGCTAAAACATATAAGGAACGGTTGCGAGAATTGGGTATGTCTAGTTTAACGAAGAGAAGGACAAGGGGGGACATGATAGCAGTATTCCAATATCTCAGGGGCTGCCATAAAGAAGAGGGAATTAAGCTATTTTCCAAAGCACCTGAAGGCAGGACAAGAAGCAACGGGTGGAAACTAATCAAGGAGAGAAGCAACCTAGAACTAAGGAGAAACTTCCTGACAGTGAGAACAATTAATCAGTGGAACAGCTTGCCTCCAGAAGCAGTAAATGCTCCAACACTGGAAGTTTTTAAGAAGAGACTGGACAGCCATTTGTCCGAAATGGTGTAGGGTTTCCTGCCCGAGCAGGGGGTTGGACTAGATGACCTCCAAGGTCCCTTCCAACTTTACTATTATTATTATTATTATTATTATATCCATTCCATTCTCTATTCTATTGTTCTGTTCTATTCTATTCTACTCTACTCTACTCTATTTTATTCTATTCTATATCCATTCTATTCTATTCTGTTCTGTTCTATTCTATTCTATTCTATATCCATTCCATTCTCTATTCTATTCTATTCTATATCCATTCCATTCTCTATTCTATTGTTCTGTTCTATTCTATTCTATTCTATTCTACTCTACTCTACTCTACTCTACTCTACTCTATTCTATTCTATATCCATTCTATTCTATTCTATTCTATTCTATTCTATTCTATTCTATTCTATATCCATTCCATTCTCTATTCTATTCTATTCTATTCTATTCTATTCTATTCTATTCTATTCTATTCTATTCTATTCTATTCTATTCTAATGACCTCTGGGTGGCAGCAAAGAGAAGCACCTTTTACCCTCTGCTGCTCTCTGGGGACAGACCATGGTATTGCAGCTCAGGTATAATGGACAGCAACTTTTGGCTCACGGTCTCTTTTGGCGTGTGTCCAGGGCATAAAGTTAGCCCTTTGGTTTTCCCCTTTGTCTGTTCCCCATCTCCTTGCTGCTGAGAGGAGCTGCTCTTTTATGGCGTCCGTAAACTTCAGCTCCAGAAATCTCCTCCACCATATTTATTTATTTCCTTGCCATCAAACATCGGTTTGATCTCTCGTTCTTCTGTTGCTCCCAGAAAGCTTCCGAGCTCTGCTTTCTCCAAAGCTTCTTTTTCTTTTTTTTTTTTTTTCTCTTTTAAATACATTTTCATTAGAAGGTCATTAGCATTTTTCAATACGGTAAAAGTATACAAAACCAAAACAACAGCAACAAAAAAGATAGAAAGCGCAAAACAAAAAAAGAACAGGAATGAAAAAAAAATAAACTTACGGTTCATGCCTTTATTTCTACCCAGCGATTGTCGGTCCAAGTTAATTATTCGTTGCAACGAAAACCATTGAACACACCGTTCAAAGGAAAACAAAAAACAAAAAACAGGAAAACCGAACTCACGAGTCAAAGCTAATAGAATAATACGGAATTTTATTGTCCCTCTTGTTTCCACTCCAAGCTCTATCTCTAGGATCAAAAAAATAAATTTATTAATTTAAAAACCCACAGGATATTATTTGTATAAAACTGAGGCATGAAGCTAAAAATGTTAAGATAAAAGGGGTCGCAGAGCAGATTTCCTTACAAACCGTCTCAAAGTTGTTTCAACTTATTTACATCTCACACTTCTTAACTGCCCATCTGCCTCAGAGCTGGGCTCCGGGTGGCATCCAAGTTAACGTTAAATGCTGGGAATTAAATCCAAATTCTCTGGTGTTCAGCTCTTCTGCAACACACGGGCACCTTATCCTATTTCTGAAAAATAAAATAAACACACACAAACACAAAGAGAGATGTAATCCTCTCCGTTTCTTGAAAGAACTGCAAACGCCGCCAAGCCCGGTGTGTATAACGCAATGTTGTTGCTGCTAGAGCTTCACTCCCTCCAGGTGAAGTTTGCTAACCGCATCGAACTCCTGGTGGAGTCCGGAGGCGATCCGGATTAAAAGAAAAGAAAGGCGCTAAGCCAATTTCAAAGGAACAATAAATCCCTTCCCCGGTTCCAACCAGAGAAGCTGGATATCGGAGCTCACTTCTTGCCTGTTTTCAAGAGCGGGAGAAACTAGACAGACTCCTTGACTTAACGACCGCAATTGGGCCCCAAAATTACGTTGTTAAGGGAGAGACTGCTTACGGGAGTTTTGCCCCATTTTACAACCGTTCTTGCCACCGTTGCGAAGCGAATCCCCACAGGTGTTAAGTCAGGGACACAGTGGTTAAGTGACTCTGGCTTCCCCCATTGTCAGACGGCCGCGAAAAGGGGATGGCGTGACCCCCCCCCCCGGATTCTGGAACCGTCATGAATCCGAGTCAGTGGCCGAGCGTCTGAATTTTGATCACGTGCCCCTGGGGGAGGCTGCGACGGTCGTAAGTGTGAAAAACGGTCCTAAGTCACTATTTTGGGTGGCGTCGTAACTTCGAACAGCCACTAAACTAAACGATTGGTTGTAAATTGAAGACAAGGCAGGATTCCTCTATCTTCTCTTTTGCGCTGGCGAGAAATTCCATGTGTGCTAATCACACTTGGCCAAATGGAGTATTTTTTCCTCTTCTATTCTCTGTTTTCTGTTCTCTGTTCTCTATTCAGTTCTATTCTGCATTGTATTAGCCTATCTATCACAGGGGTCTTCAAACTTGGCCCTTTTAGGACTTGTGGACTTCAACTCCCAGAATTCCTCAGCCAGGCATGCTGGCTGAGTAATTCTGGGAGTTGAAGTCCACAAGTCCTAAAAGGGCCAAGTTTGAAGACCCTTAATCTATCAGCTATTCTATCCTATCCTGTCTTATTCTAGTCTAATATAGTCTATTCTTCTCTTCTGTCCTACCTTACCTTACCTTATCCTACCCTTTCCTTCCTTCCTTCCTTCCTTCCTTCCTTCCTTCCTTCCTTCCTTCCTTCCTATCTACCTATCTCTTTCCTATCCTATCCTATCCTATCCTATCCTCCATCCCATCCACCCATCCATCGATCCATCCATCTATCTATCTATCTATCTATCTATCTATCTATCTATCTATCTATCTATCTATCTATCTATCTATTTATCTATCTATATCTTTCCTATCCTATCCTCCCTCCTATCTATCTATCTATCTATCTATCTATCTATCTATCTATCTATCTATCTATCTATCTCTTTCCTATCCTATCCTATCCTATCCTATCCTCCCTCCTATCTATCTATCTATCTATCTATCTATCTATCTATCTATCTATCTATCTATCTATCTAATCTTTCCTATCCTATCCTATCCTATCCTCCATCCCATCCACCCATCCATCGATCCATCCATCGATCCATCCATCCATCCATCCATCCATCCATCCATCCATCCATCCATCCATCTATCTATCTATCTATCTATCTATCTATCTATCTATCTATCTATCTATCTATCTATCTATCTAATCTTTCCTATCCTATCCTATCCTATCCTATCCTATCCTATCCTTTCTGTTCTGTTCTTTATTCTCTGTTCTGTTCTATTCTACGCTGTATTATTCTGTCTATCACAGTGGTTCTCAACCTTTCTAATGCCGCGACCCCATAATACAGTTCCCCATGTTGTGGTGACCCCCAACCACTTATACATCACCGGGTGCCAGGGGCGTGGCCAAAGAAAAGGGGGGGGGGAAATGGCAGACAGCCTTGTTTGGCGACCCCCGTGAAATGGTCGTTCGACCCCAAATGGGGTCCCAACCCACAGGTTGAGAACCGCTGGTCTATCATCTATTCAGTTCTGTTCCTTTCCATTCTATTCCACATGTGACCCTGGGGGGACGCTGCAACGGTTTTGAGGGTGAAAATCGGCATGGAGTCACTTTTTGCAGTGCTGTTGTAACTTTGGACGGTCACTAAAAGAACCGTTGTAATTCGGCCATATTTTCCAACACTCCTTCTGAACGTCCCTCCTGTCGGTGGGTGGTTCCCTCTCCGTCTTCTTGATCTTTGCTTCATCCTTCACCCCCACGGCGAGTCCCATCTCCTCACGCTCACCGTCACTCTGCTTGTTGTTCTAGGTGTCTGCAGAAGAGAAGCCGTTGCGCGATGCGTCCCACCTTGGACCTGGAGCGTCCGACTCCGCCCTGGCATTGACCCTTAACCTCTGGATGATGGTGTGGAGCTGCACGGCCACCAGTACTGTCCTCCTGGTGGCTATGTGAACCAGACTGAGGCCTTGCTCAAGACTGCCCATTGAGGGGGCCTGCTTGGTCTTCGATTTTTCCAACTTGGGACTCCAGGAGGGTGGTCCCACCCACCGCCATCTTCCTCCTCATCGACTTTGTAGCAAGAGAAGAGGAAAGAAATCCTCATCCCATGAGCTGGTCTGTGAACGTCTTTCTGGAGCGCAAGAGTGGGCCATCCAGGGAAAGAGTCAACCCTGAACATCTTCAAGAAATCCCGCAGATGTGCTGAAGCCACAAACAGAAACCAATCCACACGAGCGTCTTTTCTTCATCTTTGACCAATGAGTCAAAGCTGCCTCTCCTTTTTTTGGTGCAATGAAGCAGTCTCACCTGAGAACGAGAAGATCTGTCCTCTGGGAAAACCTTCTGAAACCAGGTTGGGATCCACCTTCTCCACGCTTGGTGTGGGAAGACTGCTCCCCCCACATCAACGTGTGGTATCAAAACTCTACCTAGCCCCCTTGTTTTTCATAAAGGTTGAGTGATTTTAATTTAAGTCGAGCGAGGCTCAACCACAACCCAAGCAGAAGGACCTTCCACTGGAGTGGTCTAGTGAGAATCAGAAACTAGGGACCAGCTTTTGAAACGTGGTTCTTGGTGGGATTCAGTGGGCCTTCACTACAGACGGAAATTGCCCACCCTTCTTATGGGCAACGCATCAGTTGGGGTCAGTTGAGGTTCTTCACCATGACAGCTTTGTATAGGAACTGAAAATTCCCCTACGGGGTTGACGTGTGGTGTGGTGGGACAAGACCGTGGGGGGGGGGTGAAACCTCTCAAAAGAGTGTGCAGGATGGACATCTCACACTAGGTCTCCACGAGACGGACATCTCACGTATAAGTCTCCACGAGACGGACACGTCCCACGTAGGTCTCCACCCATTTTTGAAAGGTTGGGGCTCCAAAAGCAAACCCATCATGGTCGACCCAACCTTTGTTGATAGCAACATGGGTTTCAAAGCAAGAGTTGTGTTTCTCGACAAAAATCACCACGCCGTTCAGCTTAAGGGGTCTTCCCGGAGAAGGGCAGTGCTTTGAGCTGAGACTAAACGATTAAACGAGAACAGATGTTCCATCCGTGGCAAACGATTGATCCCTGCTGATTCACAGCCCCTGCACACACACAAACACACACACACACACACACACACACACACACACACACACACCCCGACCTCACCAGGAGGCTCAGAAGCACCAACGGAGCTACACAACGGTGGTGTTCAATCCTGCTGGGAAATGTGTCTTGGCTGCTATTCACGGCAGCAATTGATAGTCGTCACGATGCCCCATCACCACATTCCGATCATCGCTATTCTAGCTTGGAGTTATTCGGCCTTTGGAACCGAGGGGGGGGGATGAGATTATATGATGGGGGGGGGTCTTTCTCCATCTCTGGGAAATCGCTCTGAGGCTTCATCTCCGGGACTCTGCTGCTGCATGGGTGTGTGTGTGTGTGCAGAGAACGATGTCCTTCTTAAAAGGGCGGGGAAAAAAAATCAAACTTGCTTTAGAAATGTGGCAGACACAGCAATTGCGCTAGATGGAGTGTGGTACCCTCGCAATGCGAGGCGGCCGTGGTAAGGTTTGAATGTTGCCGATGGGTTCAAACGAAGCAAAATGGCCGCCGCGTTGTCTTTCACTACATCATTCGACGCTCGGTGCGCGACGTAAAGAACTCCCTCAACACAGCCAGAAATATTCATTTTGCATTGTTTTACACAAACCTGGGTCCTCGTTTTTGCGGTATTCAACAGCTCCGTGTGAATGTGAGGTGGGGGGGAGGTGTCCACAGCAAAATGGGGCCGGGCGATAGCAGTCCCACTTTGCCGGGACACCAGCGCACAAAATCCTACTTTAGAGGCCTCTGTTGTGTCTCCGCGATGGCACCACATACACTCTTGCCAAATGTTTGCCATCAATCCATTTTTTATGACGGTCGCAGACCAGCGTTACAAATAAAAGCATTAAAAATAGAAACATAATAAAAAAAATTAAAAAGCAGATATGATCAGAGGTGGATTAGGGCTGTTAAGAGTCCGCTAATTTTACATACAGTACGGGTCATCCTCGAGTTACGACCACCGAGCCCAAAATATCAGTCGCTAAGCGAGACGGCCATTAAAGGGAGTTCTGCTCCCATTTTACGGCCTTTCTTTCCACCGTTGTTAAGCAAATCACGGCAGTTGTGAAGTGAGGAACACGGTCGTTAAGTGAATCTGGCTTCCCCATTGATGTTGCTTGTCTGAAGGTCGCAAAAGGGGATCATGTGACTCCGGGACACTGCAACCGTCATAAGTACATGCCAGTTGCCAAGCCTCTGAACTTTGATCACGTGACCACGGGGAGGCTGTAACGGTCGTAAATGTGAAAAACGCTCAAAAGTCCCTTTTTTCAGTGCCGTTGTAACTTTGAACGGTCACTAAATGAACGGTTGTAAATGGAGAACTGCTCCTATTCGCCTTCCTTCACAGTCTGTGTTATGGTGGGTGTTCTTTTCGGCAAAACAGAAGCTCTTTGCGGACTTCAATTCCCAGAATTCCCCATCCAGCCGTGGCTGGCTGGGGAATTCTGGGAGTTGGTCCACATATCTTCAAGTGACCAAGCTTGAAAAAACATCGTTTTAAAATGGCCCAGGCTGAAAAAACTCTGCTATAAAATATCTCTCCTGCACTTCAATCAATCCATCGGAATAAAGCTGAAAGGGACCTCGGGGGGCCTTCTAGTCCAACCCCCGGCTCAAGCAAGAGACCCTGTACGATTGGAGACAAGTCTCTTTTTAAAAACCTCCCGTACGTTTAAGTCAACTTCCTTGCTCCCTAAGCCCATCCCATTGTCTCGAACAAAAAGCATGTCGAAGGAAAAATCTTCATCAGGGTCCAGTCCAAGCCGGGAATGAACGACATGGAGACTGCTTTAGAAAGAAGACTGTAGCATTTCACGACTCCTTCTGATCTTCTGCCCTGCAACGCACGAGATTGAGGAATGCGTCCCTTAAAATAAAAAAAGCCAGATCAGAATGAGTTTAAAGCCAGCCTAACCAATAAATAAAAATTACCCTTAGGATAACTAAAAAGTAAGCCCCAACTTGGAGCAAACGTAACACTAATGGAATAACTACATTACGCTTTGCTTCTACTATTGGGTTTGTTTTGTTTTGTTTTGTTTTCACCTTATCCAAAGATAAACATCCAAACTACCAAATATTCTGGGTTTTTGTTTTTTGTTTACTACCGTACCACTTTAGTCGAATGAATAAAATCCAAAGGCTTTATGTATGACATTCTTAATAATAACCTTGGCTCAGCTAAAACTTTCGATCAGCAGTTTTATTCACCGAAAAATCACACACGTCCACTCTTCCCTTAAAAGGTTTGCGCAAAAAAACCCCCGACGTTTCCTTAATGGGTTATAATTCGCAAACACCGATCCTGTTAACAATCCGTTTCTTTAATGCAGCAAGCTTCAGATCGATTAAAAACAGAATCGGTCTCTCTCACTCTACCTGTTTTAAATGACCGATAATAAAATTCTTCTTGCCCGCCGGGATATTAAAAGAAACCCATCTGGGTTTTACAAGGGTGTGCGTTTTGCCAAATTAGAATGGAATAGAATGATAGAGTTGGAAGGGACCTTGGAGGTCTTCTAGACCAACCCCCCCCCTTCTTGGGCAGGAAAAAATCAATCACCTTTTTAAAAGGAACCCACCAGTTAGGTCTTGGGAGGGGTCTCCAAGTGGGGGCGGGAAGTATCAAAAAAAGACCATGATGATAGATAAAACTGCAATCAAAGGCCCCTCCCACCCCCGCTTTTTTTTTGCTTTTTGCATTTTGCACCAAAGTTTCTCCTTGTCTCCTGGGGTGTGGGTGTGTGGGTGTGTGGGTGTGTCACGTGATCCCCTTTTGCGTCCTTCTGACAAGCAAAGTCAATGGGGGAAGCCCTGATTCACTTAACAACCGTGTGGCTAATTTAAACAACCGCAGCGATTCACTGGTGAGAAAGGTCGTAAAATGAGGCAAAACTCACTTAACGACCAAGCCACGGAAATTTTGGGCTCGCTCAGCGGTGGTTGTGAATTAAGGATTCACCCGTATCCTCAAATTGTAGGTCGGTTAGGAAAGGGGGGGGGGAATGCAGAAAGTTAAAGGGATACCTATAAAGTCATAATAAAGCATAAAAGGCAGGATATACATCTAATAAATGAATTAAGTAAATAATTATTTTATTTTATCCTTATGAACCTTTTTCCCCCCCAGATTTGTAACTGGTTTTATTTTTACCAAGAAAATATGGTTGCTTTTACATATGGAGGGGGAAAATGCACTGCTAGTGGGTTTTTTTTAATACTCTTTTAGGGCAACTTTTAAAGACTTGTGAATATCAATTCCCAGAATTCCCCAGAATTTTTGGCAGGGGAATTCTGGGAGTTGAAGTCTTAAAAGTTGCCAAGGTTGGATACCCCAGCCTTACATCTTTCAAGTTTGATGAAGAACCACAAGTTAAATCTGCCCTGATTCCTTGGGGAGGGGGCAGGAAATCAGATTCAGCTCTTAAGACATAAGGGAAACCGAGTCATAATTAGTACCTGTGTGCAGTTTCTTAGAGCAAAGTGGCTTATAAATCTGCTCAACCCCAAAATAAAATGAGGCCTCCCGATAACAATGGACCCCCCATCTTTTTTTAAAGGGTGCTGCATCCATATTTACCAAAATGAATTTCATTCTCTCATCGGTCAAAAACTGACAAGGGCTGCAGCCTCAACGTAACTGTATTCACACAACCGGCGTAACCCAGATCCTGAATTTGGGGGCTTTGCCAAGTACTCAGAACTCACAAGTTGAGTCCTCACAATCAATGACCCACGTTGCAGCCAACCGAGCGCCTGCAGAGGTTGCGGAGCGTGTCACTGACCTGGTTAAAGAGGTTGTGTGAATAGGGCCCGTCTCTTCCCCGTCCTCCTTGGATCCAGGAAATCGGGGCGAATGCTTCAAGTAGGGTCTGGGTTGCAAACAGCCGTCAAGAAGACAAGCCTTCCCAATATTCCCACTTTTTTGTCTTTCCCTGGTCGTGTTTACCCCACATTCCCAGAGGCAGAGTAACGGGACAGACCAGCAGAAAACCTGGTTTGCAGATAGACTTATCTCTGCAATAAACCAAGGCATAGGAAAAAAAAAAGTCCTTTGTGGCGAGGAAAGCACTCAAAGACTGTTGGGGTTTACACTCGTGTTGGTCATACTTTGGGGGGGGGTCTCACCTGTTCTTTCTGTATGTATCTGTATTCTGACAAATTGTACCTGGAAATAAAGACAATGTGCATTTTTCCTCTATTCGATCTGTGCTGCTTGCTCAGGGGAGCCTCATCATCCTTGGGTGTGGCGGGCCTTGGGGTGGAGTGGGGGGGGGGTCAGGGAGCTGTCTTCTCTCCTTTTGGTGTGTGTGTGTGTGTGTGTGTGTGTGTGTGTGTGTGTGTGTGTGTGTGTAAAATGTCCCCTAAAAGACTGCCCAGGAGAAGGGCTGGAGGACCTCAACTTTCACCTCTGGAAGTCCTTGTGGAAGTCTTAAAAGGGCCAAGTGTGAAGACCCCCGGACATCTATATTTATACTTTTGCCCAATATATTTTTCCTACATCGTAAGCTACATTAGAGTAGCTTTGGATAGAGAAATGAAGGCCATGTGAACTGAATACACAAATAAATCGTAAGGTGACCAACTTTTTTACAATGAGAAGGAGGACACAAATAAACTGAAGAAAAAAAAGTGAGTCTAATGCAGTGGTTCTCCACCAGTGGGTCGGGACCCCATTTGGGGTCGAACGACCATTTCATGGGGGTCGCCAAACAACGCAGTCCGCCATTTTTTTCCCCCTTTTCCTTAGCTGTGCCACTCCCTTTTATTCTATTGGCTTTTGAAAGCCAATAGAATAGACTCTCTTGAATAGAGTCTAATTCTATTGGCTTTCAAAAGCCAATAGGAATTGTCCAGGCTGTCTCTGCCCTGCTGAGCCCGCCAAAAGTCCCAGTCTGCAAACGGTGCTGCACCAGTTGAGTAGTCCTCGACTTACGACCGGTTGAGTAGTCCTCGACTTACGACCGGTTGGGGGTCGTGGCATTAAAAAGGTTGAGAGCCATTGGTCTAATGCGTGCATGTGTG